TTTTAACAAAAAATTTAATCACTATATACATCAACACCCCTTTCAGATTGTGTTTTATAAAATAAAAGAAAGCCAACTCACAATCGACATGGTATTGGATATGATTCAAGATATATATTCAGATCATCAATTGTTAATAGTGCTTGCTGTTTACGTATGTTTAATAATAATTTAATAACTATCAATTCTTTTTCAATTAATAATTGAACTTTATAAACAGCCAAAGGTTTAAATCCATTAAATAATTTTCTTAATTGTTCATTGATCATAGTTCGATGATTAAAATGAAGAATATAATCAAATATAGTTATTATGATTGTTTGTTCTATTTTATGTCGAAGAACAGAATCATGAGTATACATAGACATACTTAGAGTATAACAATCAAATATGGATTGAAGTGTAAGACTAGTTTCTCGTAAATCTAATATTGTCACTAAAACAAATAAGCAATCTCAAATTAGTGCTAATTTTCAAATCTACGTTTAAAAAATCAGAAATTGAGTATATTGAAAGTCTAGATTAGAGTTCATCAAATTGGCCTCGAAAACCGATCTGGATTCAAAAGTTTTGAAATCGACATCCTCTAAAAGGCATAAGATTGCGGACAATGAGAATTGTACGACAGGAGGAACAAAAGAAGAATCACTGTGATCGTGCTTGTACAAAGACTAGTATTGCTAAAATAACATTTTTCGTTTTCGATATTTCTCATAGATTTCTCTTTGTTAAAAGTCCACAGTTAGATGTTTACTAAAAACTAGTTATAATTTTAGGTTTACTTCTGCTAAGATTTACTCCTGCACTTTTACGATCAGCATCTTATTCATTGATATTCAAAATTAAAGATTTCTTATTAGATTCTTCTTTTATACTTCCTACACTTATATCAATTGATGATTCTTGTTGACGATGCGATTGATCATTTGTATCTAATTTTTGTTCATAAGCACAAATTTTAAGAACTTATTCTGTTGATAAATAATAATCCGTATTGGATAATAAAATTTCATTGACGTTCTCAAAACGTTCTTTATTTGAAATAATTCTTATAATAATTGTTGTTAAAAATATAGAATATTTTTCA